TCTTCCCTCATCCTAGGTTTCTGGTTCGTGTGTCGGCCACTTGCCTGGCCACACTGCAGAAGCCTGAATCAAGTTTCTGATAAGCAAGCATTTTATTCCAACAATAACCTAAGTTTGCACCGGTGTGATGCGCAAGGTCATAAACGAGGCTCCTAACCAATCATTATCCTTCCTTTTCACTCTGTTTTCTTGAACGTAATGTATAAAAACCCAATTTCTTTGTGTTCAGGGTGCCTCTTTTGAGAGAGGTGGCCCCTTTACTGCTGCGCAACAATAAAAGAAACTTCTAAAGGTTTCTTGTGTCCAGTGAAGTTATTGGCAGTCATCTCCAGGCAAGAACCCGTTTTGGGTCCAACAGCTATAAGCAGTTTAACATCTTAATGTATTATTATTTAATTCAGAATGTATTCATATGCTGTATCTGTTTCTCTCTCATATTCAAAAACAGAATTCTCCCTCCCTTTTGATATAAAATATTAAATGGATGGGTAGTTTTTCTTTCTGTTTGCTTCCTCACCTCTTTTCTTAGTGTCCAAGAATTGCTATGAAACTTTCTCTCATAGTATCAAAATTCCGGATGCTTGGTAAGAAATTTAAAGCTTTCTGTAGGAAACAAGGTTGAAACCTGAAATTTTTGCTGTAGTTATGATTTGGCAGCAACCCACTCCCCTAGTCCTTTCTCCCCACCCCACTTCCAAAAGGAGAGCTTCCATCTTTTATTTTGTGTAAAAAATGTAAAGCAGATGATTTAACCTCCATATATCTGGTAAAAAGTAAAATCTGAGCTTGACTTATGGTAATTTCATGGGCACCTGTACCATTTCCCTTGCAACAGGTTTGCCACTGACTTCTTCTGGGTCTTTTTTCAATTTTCCAATCTAGCTTATATTTTAAAGATTTCTTGGTGATCTCCCACCCAAATACTACCAAGGCCCACCTTGCGTAGCTTTCAAGCCAAGATAACATCAGCTGAATTATTGCTCTATTTCTCCATACTCTGTTCTCCTTCTCAAATTCTATCCCTTAACCTCCCTTTGAGGAATCTATCTATTATAAAAGAGATGGGGAAGAAGCTTTTAATATCTATGCTTTTATTACTATTCCCCCCACCCCATTTGATCCTCAGTCTTGTATTTTAGAGTATTTATTTCTAATTTTCAAGACTTCCCTGCTCATCTCCTTTTTTTCTACTGAGTTCATGAAGGCTTAATAGAATTGTCATTCTTTCTCTCCCATGACCGAGCTGTCCATTTAAGTTACTGAAATTTAGTTTAATTGTAATGTATTTGTTTAAAGAATTTACATGGCTGTCCAGTGCGAAGACTGCAACTTGGCAGAGTATGATAAAACAAAAAGAGAACCAAAACAAACAGTTCCAATTAAAATCAGCAAACTTTAATGGGCAGGCAGAGACACATCTTCAACTCCAGTCATCCCAGCCCCAACGTCCAGAGGGAAAGCCAACTTTTTAGCACCTTTCTGAACGCCAACAGGGTCAGGGTAAACTGCATGATTGGGTAGGCATTGTTTCAAGGAAGGAACCCAAAGCGTGTCCACCCTGTTACGAAGTGTAGGATGGGCAGGTACCATTACGGAGAGGCAGTCCTGCAAATAACTGAGCTCTGGGCCACGTAGGGCTTTACAGGTGATAACCAGCCTTTTGACTTCCACCCAGAAGGCCACAGGGAACCAGTGTAGCTTTCAGAGTAGCTGGATACCACTCACTCCACCTTGCAAGAAAAGGGAGAAAGCTCAAAATACAAGGTGACCAGCCAAAACAAAGCAAGAAAACAAAAACAAAAAGGGGGGGGAGTTTCTCTGCCTTTTAGGGTTTATTTTGTTTGTGACTTTTTAATTTTTTATTAATGTTATGTTCCCGTGGGAAGGTAATGACTGCTTGCAAATCAGTAGAGATGAAGCGTCTCCTCTAACTGAGCTGTACAATTTGGCTGGGGATATTTTCTTGGGGGGTGGGGGAACACTGTCTTCAAAGACAAGTAGATCATATCACATATGATATTAACAGTGCACTGACTTATAAAAGCGGTGGGAGCTACTCACTAAATTGCACCCTGTTTCCCCAGGGTGCCATATTAACCCTGGGCTTCACTGCATGGTTGTTGAAAATCATTTCTGATGGAGTGGTGAAGGTGTTGAACTAGGACCAGGGAGACTATCAAGTTAGTCTTATAACTCATTGGGTGAATGGCATGGTTTCCCTCTCTCTCTCAGCCCAAATTATCTGATAGGGTTGCCGCTTGGGGATAAAAAGAGAGATCCCTGTGCAAGCCACTGTGAGCCCTGGAGCAAACAGGAGTAATGAATAAATATAGTCCTGGCCTGATTTCCAAGCTATACTATCAGCACAAATAACTGTTGTAGGCATCAGTGCTTCAGTTTCAGTTTTCCCCAATTTAACATGGGAGTACACAATAATTTTGGAATTTATATTAAGTTGTGAAACGGCTTAAACTATTTAACATTTCAAATTTATATTTCATCCAATTTGGTAGCTTGAAATGTAAAAATCAAACACGTTTCCCCTTCCTTACAGCTTTTGTTTCTGGGGGAGAAGGTGGCTTTTTTCCTGCTGTTGGAGAAGGTATTTAAAAATGGTGTACTCTGATACAATCATCCATAAACACAGTAAAATCCTTCTCTCCGTATTTTTGTTACAATTTGCATAGACTAATAAGGAACAAACGAGATTGCCAATGAAGCTTATGCATTTTAATAAAAGGTGTTAGAAAAAGTACTATCACACTTCTAATTTTTTGCCACGATAGACCAACACAGCTCTCCTCCTATAATGTCTGCAAACATGGTTTTCCTTGCTACAACGGAGAAATTCTGTCAGGAGGTTCCTAGACTAAAAAAAAAAAAAATCGAGTGAGCAAAAGCGTACTTTGCATAACAAACCTCCAAGACAGCCAGCAGCAAACGAACATATGCTTTCAGACAATGTTTTGCTAACTTGGCCACTTTAAGATGTGCAGACTTGAACTCCCAGAATTCCCCCGCCAGCCTGGGAAAATAGGGTAGAATGTATCAGCTAATCTTACAATATGGCTTAAGGTGATCCCATATTGTAAAATGGGAAGGGAACGCAGCGCGAAGGGAATAACTCGCCCCTTTCGAATACTGTACTGTAAACTGCAGAGGCGGCATGGGGGCGGGGATGGGATTCGTTTATGACGAATTCGTGACGTAGTCTCTTGTTAATCGCGGAGATCCGGGGCGGAAACGGAGCGCGCCTTCAAACAAACCTGGAATGCCATCTAGCATTCACGTGACCCTGAAAAAGCTAACCAGGATCAGGTGTGTTTATTCCTTGAATGGGAATCCACTAGAAAAATGTCAGAGCTGGAGAATGGATTAGGAATACGACAAAATATCCCGGGAGAACCTTCTTTCGTACAATTGTTAAGAAACTGCATGGACATTCC